TACAGATCTACTCCAAAACTTTAGAGGTCAACTCTGTATTAAATATCGTCTGGTGTAGTTCGATCTGGTATGGTAGATCCTCTGTTGCAGATGAAGAGGGTTGACTAAAACTCACTGTCAGTTCTGACATGTAGACACGCTTACCAAATGACCTGAAGGAATATGGTAACAGCAAAGAGAAGTTCTATGACAAGCCGTGCCAGTGCCAGAACACAATCTTGTGGCCACACTGAGGATCTCAAAAGATTCCAATTTTTTATCCATCACAGCTGACCTTTCCTATTATGACGTAATGGAAATAAGAGGTCACATTGAGCAGCTTCAGTGCACAACCAATTTTCTCCAGCAGCTTTAACCAAGTAAGCAGATGTGGTCTGAGCGCCTTGGTGAGTTCAATGAAGGCAATTTACAGCAGTCTGTTTTGTTCCCAACATTTCTCTTGCAACTGCTGGGCTGCGTAGGATCTTTACCAATTGTAAATCTTTCAATTCTGAAACCACACAGGAATTTGGCGAGAATATGGCTGTAATCATCAGAGTTGGAAGCATGAAATTGTGATTTATTTGAAAAACCACACATGTCTTAATCGGGGTGATGGGGTGGATGTTGCAAGGATATTTTCCACTTGCCTAGAATCAGAGACCCAGTCTCAGTATAAAGGGTCAGTTGTTTAAGGCTGAGATGAAGAGAAAGTTCTTCACTCAAAGCACTGTGTAAATTTGAAATTTTATATATAAGAGAGCTGTGTATGTTCAATCATTGACCATATTTAAGTCATTGATGAATTTGTGGAGATGAAGAGAATCAATGGAAATAGGAATATTGTAGGAAGGTAGATTCAAAGTAGAAGATCAGTTATAACCTTACTTCATGAAGAAGCAGGCTAGCTGGTCTAAATAACTGACTCTTGCAAGTATTGCTAATGTTCTTAGTAAATCAAGATTCAGTTGCAGCACTTGCTGGATAAGTTGATTTCTGCAGATGCAGCTTGAGTGCATTTTTGAGACTGCACCTTGATGTGGTGGGAGAAACTGCATATTTCTACAATTCTGAGAGCAATTCTGGCAGGTGCATGATTCCTTGTAGAGCCTTTTCCCAAACTAGAGAGACTCCGTTAGATCATCAGTCTTCCCAGTACAGGACTTTCAGACAGGCTAGAAATACCTTCCATTGTGGAAACATTCCTGAAACAAGATTAATCTGATATAGACTTCTAAATATAGACATCAACTGGGGAAAACCAGAATCTGTTAGGTGTAAGTTAAATTCATACTCCAATGGCGAGACATGGGCTGCCTCATGCATCACCGGGGCTCAGGAGAAGGGATGCACGTGGTGTTAATCACTGGGCCCATTACCTTGTTGAGGCAGTCCAGATATGGATGGCACTAGCCCCCTTTATGGTGAATCTCAGAAAGGTCAACCCGACTTAGAACACAAGGTAATCTGCGATGATCTGATCCTGTAGTCACAAACTGTTTCTCTCCTTCATTTGATACAGATAGGTTCACTGGTGGTTACTGGCATGTATTTTTCGAAGAGCAGCCTGGAAGGAAAATGGTGGAAGTAAGCAAATCACTGGAATTGACTCTGGGTCTAAAACTTAGGGATGGTTGAGCACGGCTTCAGGCCTTGGAGGTTACTGACAGCTGAGTCCAGGGGTTCCTCTAAAGATATCTGCATGCATTTGGTGTGATATTCATAAATGCACATTAAAATGTCAGAACAACAGCCATCTGAATATCTCAATCCTTATCCTGAGACAGTAAGAACTGCAGATGCTGCAGTCAGAGATAACACCGTGTGGAGCTGGAGGAACACAGTAGGCCAGGATGCTGTTATCTCAATCCTTATCTTGTTTGCTTATTACTTAGACTTAATGGATATGTTCTTTTCTCAAATAGATGTCTGCAGAGAGGATTTTTTTTCCTCACATTATCCCATGTGTAGTGTGTCTTGGCTATTTAAAATGGTGAATATATGTATTTTCAAATTACAAACTGAGGGTGGAATCTTCGCAAACCCTGAAAAATTTAGGCCAATGTGAGATCAGAAATGGAAGATTTTCATCTTTGAGGAAAAAGTCTGATTTTTCCACTCCAGGTGTAAATAACAAGACCAGAATTATTTTCTTTTTTTTCATTCATTCATGCATGTGTGTTGTTGGCTATCCCTAGTTGCTCTTGAGGAGATAGTGCTGAACTGTCTTCTTGTCCATTTTTTAATCATACAGGGGATGTGATTTATTACCCACCTCCATTTGCCCAGAGGATGGTTAAGAATCCAGAACATTGCTGTGGGTCTGAAGTCACATGTAAGCTAGAGTAGGTAAGGATGGCAGATTTCCTTCCCTAAAGGACATCAGAGAACCAAATGGCTCTTCATAACTGACAGTAGCTACATGGCTGCCGCTAAATGAGTATTTTTTAATTACAGACTTTATTTAAATAAAGTTCAAGTTGCACTATCTGCCACGGTGGGATTAGCCTGGGTTATTGGATTACTAGTCCAATACACCACCATCTCCCCATTTCATGTAGGTCTTGTTAGGAATGGAATTGCAGGATTTTGACCCAGTGACACTATATATTTACAAGTCAGGGTGGCGAGGAGCTTGGAGGGGAAGTGGCAGGTTTTTGTCTCCCTGTGAATCCACCGCCCTTGTTCTTTTAGGTGCTCGTGGTAGTGAGTTTACAATGTGCTCTACAATCTGAGTAGTCAGCTGGGAGAAGCCTATTTGCACGCTCTTACGTTTTATTATTACTATTTTCGCTTCATTCATATGCAGTTTGACATTCTCCCGTGTGGCAGAGAGAAACTGGACAGCAGCAATTCCCAACAATGAAGTCTTGAGTGGGTACCTGGTGACTCCAGCTCTTCCATTGCTCCTTTGGGCCTCTATCTTGGTCAGCAGTCCCCAACATCTCAGGGCACACTCCTTGGCTGACATCCTTCGTCCGTGGCATTGGATAAACAACAGCTCCATCTCATGGCGCAGTTCCAAAATGCTTAGAATATAGTTCATCACTTTAGTACTGCATTTTGAAGCACATTGACGTCATGCATTGTAACGCTGCTGCCAGACTGCTTTGCTTGCACTGATGGGTACCCATTTTATCAATCAGACCAGAGTGCATTACAGGACTGCTAGCTTGCTTTCTTGGCACCCACTCACTTTGCGCCTACTTGGATGCTCTCAACTTCTGTCTTCCTTGTTGCAGAACTTATAGCCTCACAGTACTTCTGCCTCTCCTTGAGGTGCAGACATAAAGCCAGGCAGCCTGTCATATTTGCCATTCATGATCAATTAAGGGGACAGACAGTTTCCGTGCAGCACCATGTTACATCAATTTCACACCAGCTTTTTCCAGCGGTTTACGTGGCAGGAAAGTGCACAACCAAATTACTTGAAGTCTTAAAGTCTAAGGAGAGTAGACCCTAATGAAGACAAGATGGAGTGGGCCACTGTCTATACTGAAAGTCCATTGCAACCAGTCCAGGATTAGCGGTGGATCAGATAAGGAATTGCACAGAAATCAGTCAGAGGTATGGTTACTCATCAGTCTTTCTAAGTAGGACGGGTGAGTGGGCCATAGTAAATGCAAGGGATCTGTTTACTGGAAAGGGGTATCAGGGTCAGTGCTGTGGTGGGGTTGTTGGGGAAGTTAATTCTGGGGATTGGAGGCAGCATGCTGGAATAGGGAAAGTAATTGTGAAGATGGTGCACTGCATCGAGTTGGAGACAATGGGCGTGGTAGGTTGTTTGTGAGGGGGTGGTCATTGACTGTACTCACTACCTTGGTATCAGTGAGGGGCACAGTGCATAAGTATACTTGGAATAACTAAGCTGTATGCTTGGAGGTTCGGGTAAATTGAGAAGATGAGCAGTTAAATGAAAGTTGGATGGGCACATGGGAAAGATAAAATCTGATAATTATGACAGGAGGGCAAGGCAAAAGAAGCATAAACATTGGAGGATTCACTAGATTGAGAGGCTGAGCCTGCAACCCATTCTGTGAAGCACCCCTTGAGCTGCTTTCCATCTCCATCCAATTTGCAAATGTATATCAAAAAGAAAAATGGCTGCCACTCGCACTTGGAGTGGGTTGAGAAAACGTCTTTAATTCCTCTGAGGGAGCGGGCTCAGCACATGAGCAACGCAAGGCCTTTCAAAGGTGTTGGAATTAAACAGATACACTCACAGTCCAGGTTAAAGACATACAAACATACAAATAAGAGTAGGCCACTTGGCCCTTCGAGCTTGCTCTGTATCTCAATAAGATCGTGGCTGCTCTGATTTTAACCTCAATTCTACATTCCTGCATATCCCCAGTTGTCTTTCAGCCCCAGATGACATCTGTACTAACATAATCCTGCATGTGAACCTCATGCATTGACAAACCGTTTTGACTGAAAATCCTGGCCACAAGCATCCTTGACTGCATCACTCAACGTTCTAAATTAATCCTACTAATGGCTGTGAAGCACAAGTAATGTCAGGCAAGTGTATAAGTTCACCTAAGTTCCAAAATTTGCAATCCCCTTCCAAGGTCCCATAGTCTGCATAAGGTGCAGGAGCTATTCACTTCACGCCTGGTCTATGAAATGTCCACACCATTATCCTTTTATCCTATATCACTGTCTAGGTGTGGTGCATACATTGAGGTGAGCAGTGGAGATAAGTTACTGGATCTCACAAAGAGAGACTCTGCATTAAACTCTCCAAAACTGACAGTGGGGCTGAATTTTGCAAAAATTGGCGAAGTATGTTAACCGGTTTTGCATCCTCATTGAATTTTCATATTGTATAATTAAATGATTTTACAAGAAACTTGGTTGATGGATCTTTTTATTTTAAGTCTACTTTGAAAAAGCATATGATTGACCATACTGGAAACAGAATAAAATGATTATATTGTGACCCATAATGTAATGGAACTAGAGAAAGACAGTGCAATGCTCCCATCTTGGTCATAACAATAGTTTTCTCTTTCATCCAGATCTTTGTTCTGAAACGTTTACCAATGAACCAGGTCAGTCGATGGGAAGCACAGAGAAAGAGACCTGTGTTGAGGTAATGGATTCTTTGATTATCCCTCTAATTAGATTTAACTGTAACAACTCATTTCTCTGAGCTGTTACTGAGATCTATGAGGCAGAAAGAAAATCTTTGTATACTGATGCTTTGTACAAATGACTTAAGATATATTTATGCTATGTTAGTGCAAACATAATGGGCTGATTGCCCTGCTTCTGGGCTGTAATGATCCTGTGATATTGAAGGCAATTGGTGGGTAGCTGTTTTACCTATTTGCAAATATGATGTAAAACATTCCGATGTAGACTATTGTTCTAAATAAGCTCAATTATTTCAAATAGCCAAAGGAAAGTATCTGTACCAGAATCTATCCCCCCACCCCTAACTTTCCTCCACATCTTCACCTTCTACTGTTTTTTTTAATCACCAGCACCAAAAACTCTTCTAACAGTGTACTTCTGGGATGAAAAACAAGGGTTCAGAGGATTTGATGCAAAATAGCCAAAGAGTGTATAATACACTTGTCCTGTATTTGTGCCTGTCTATATAAAATTAAAATTGTGAGGGCTGTTGAGTGGTAGTGTTCCTACAACAGGTGGTCCAGTTTCAAACCCCACCTGCTTCAGTGGTGTGGAATAACATTTCTGAACAGGTTAATATAGGGAAAAAAAAGTAAAAGTACGCTTGTTAGTTTCTCTCTGAACTGCTTTAAAAGTATTATTGAAGCTTATTGTGTCATTTAGTTTTTGTTAATTATTATGAGTAGATTGATTTTAAGCATTGTATAGCCCTTTAATAGATCAAACCAGTAACATTTTCAGTCACACATTGTAGTGTTTCATAAATTGGCAAAACTGAGTTATTTACAAACTTTTGAGACCTTATAAATCAGTTATGGGCGTAACTGATGTGTCTGAATTGCTACTTGTAATTAATCATCAGAATTAGCTTTAAAAGGGTTTCATATTAAAACTGAGCTAAGAGAATAGTGGCATTGGATATTTAGAAACTGTATTTTATCATACTTTGAATGCTTAGCATTGTGTAATGCACTGCTGTGAAAGCTTTGACTGAACATAATCCATTGTAGATCTGATCAAGCTTAGACATTCTAAAATGCATAAATTAATATACAAGACATTAGTTCAATGTGACTTTTATAACCGATCTCTAGTTAGAAGATATAATGAGAACAAGGTGTAAAGGATGAAAGTTCAGGACCGATCTAGTGCCAACATTTCTTCAAGTGCCCTATTGTGCAGCTGTGGATTTAATTTTCTCACAAATAGATTATTTAATTGTCAGGTGTAATTTACAGGGGAAAAAGAAGGAATAAAAGAGAAACCAGGATCAGATGGACCCATTGTGAAATTTTAAACACACATGTTGCCCACAATTTAGCAAGCCTCTTGGTATTGAGTCTAATGCGTGCAGTGTTCTGAACAAAATAATTTCTCATCACTGCAGATGCATCTTATATGAAATCAAGTCATGCCACTGTTCTTGTTACTTAACTTCATTTAGGATAATTTAAACTTCAAGTTTATTTCTCTATATATTTTACAATACATTGTTAATAGTTAGTCATTTGCCTTAGTTTTTTTTTAGAAATTGTTCTTTTGGTTGCCCTTATACTTTTATTGGAACCTGTGAATCTTTTAATAGCACAGTGGTTTAAGGGTATAAATTTTGATTTTTAATTACCTGATACTTTTATAAGACAGTGTAGCTAGTTGATTAAAATTGTTTGACACTTTTAAAAAGTGTATCAAGGATATAAATTTGGACCAAATGAAGCCTTAATATCATAATATGTGAGGTTGAATTTTATTTTATAGTGTTGTATGCTCAAAGTTTCAGTAGAATGAAAATATTGTGTATGTTGTGCCAACAATGAATGTACTGCTTTATGACCACTTCCAATGTGAGATTATCTTTTTTAACCCTAAAGAGAGTTGCATTTCCAGTTTCGGGCTTTAGCTTTGCCATATTTGTTTAAAAGACTATATTTTTTTTTCAGCGTGCTAGCACTCTGGGAAATCAAGCAGGTTTATTGCTGGATGGAGTGGATCAGGCCCTACTTGATACAGGTACAAAAGAAAGATCAATTTAGCAGATATTGATGCACATTCTTAAATAGCATACTTGATCACCAGACGATCATTATTAACACTGGTGAGGAGGAATGAGAATCCAGCCAGTTTTTTTTAACAATTAACTATACTAGGGTCTACTTCTGAACCATTTATTTAACTATTGAGCAAGATTAAGAACAAATCTGTCTGCTCAAAGCTGACATTCATGAGGAGCTTGGCTATCAGCAGCGGAGATGTATTTCAGAATAATTTACAATGTTGTCTTCTGCTACATCCCTCCTTTTACCTTTACCATCAAACCTCACTTAATATGTCAGGTTCAGCACCCAGCTTCTTAAAAATGAGGTCCTAACTGGGTGGAAGGTACAATACAGGGCTACATACTTACTAAACTTTGGAAGAAATATTAAAAAGACAGAGCTAAGAAATCCCACAACAAATGAGTCAGATCAAAATCCAACCATATCTGGTTGCAAATGCTGGTGGGCAATTAATCAATTAATTGGAAATTGAGGCACCACGAACATCCCAGTCATCAATGATGGCCCAGGAGCCCAGCATATGAATGCATAAGTCCAGGTTTAAATTATTTTCAGTCATCCTCAGCCAAAAGTGCTGAGCAGATCATTATCACAGGAACCAATCTTCAGTAAATTCTGTTCATCTCACATGATATCAGGAAATGGCTGAATGCATTGGATACAACAAAAGTTATTGATCCTGACAAGATCTTGTAAACTGCTGCTGCAAAAATAACTGTGTCTTCAGCCACTCTGTTCCAGTGCAGCTACAGAACTGGGGTCTACTTGGCAATGTGGAAAATTTTCCAGTTTTGTCCTCTCATAAAAGGCAGAACAAAGCCACCCAGCCAACTACTGCTGCAGCAGTCTAATCTCAAACTTCAGCAAAGTTTTAGAAAATGCTAGCAAAGTGCTGTCAAGCTACACAAACTTAGCAATAGCTGTTCAGAAATGCACCATTTCAACTATGCCAGAGCCACACTACTCCACATCCAACATGCACAAAAGACATAAATTCCAAGGGTGAAATGAGAGTGATGTGCCTTTATTTCAAGTTGCATTTGATTGAAGCCATAGCCAAATTGAGTAAAGAGAAATTAGATGTAGGGGGAGGAAACTCTCCTGTGACTGGATGCATAACTAGCTTCGAAGAAGGTGGCTATGATTTTGATGGGTCAATCGTTTTGGTGCCATGGGTGTTCAAATGTTACTCCAGGCCATGTCCTAACGATCTTCAGCAGCTTCATCAATTAATATCTTCCATCATAAAATCAGAACTGGTGGCCTTCTTCATAGATGATTGTGCAACGTTCAGTAGAGTAGCCATAAAAATTCTGTAGTGACAACGGCAGGTCTGAGGCTAGGTATTCAAGGTGAATGATTCACCTCCTGATTTCACAAAGCCTGTTCACCATTTAAAAGACACAAATCAGAAATGTGATGGGATACTCTGCCTTTTGCCTAAATGAGTGGAACTCTAACAATATTTGAGAAATTCTGTACCATCTAGAACAAATGAACATGCTGAATTGGCACTCTAACTACTGGCGTAAAATTTGTCTGTATCCTCTGTATTGCTGATGCTGAGTGGCTACAGTGCATACCGTCTACAAGATATGTTTGTTAACTCTCAAAGGCTCCTTAAATAGTATGTCCCAAACTCATTGCTTCTAGAAGAAGAGAGAAGCAGGCACATTGGAACTTGTAAGATGTCTGAAGTCCTTCCTGACTTGATAGCATGTTGTTAAACCTTCATTGCCTCAGGAGTCTGACTCAATGCAGAAATGTAGGTAAGCTCTTTCTTATAGCCAGCAGAGGTATGATGGGCCAAATGCCTCTCTTCTCAGTTCTAAATTCTAGGCTATGATTCTATCTTGAATCATGATTATGCATTGCATACACAACTTGATTGGTTTATTTTGTGGTGTCTTTGTTTCCGAGATTGTTGGTTTTATTACTTAACTTGTTCAATTTTTGAAATTATTTTATTGATCTGTTTACTTTATAGTTCAGTTGATATTTTTCTACTTTCTGAACCATGGATTTACTTTATTTGAAAACCATTGTCAAACCAGCAATGGGGTCGGTGATAACCAGGTGTAGAGCTGGATGAACACAGCAGGCCAAGCAGCATCAGAGGAGCAGGAAGGCTGACATTTCGAGCCTAGATCCTTCTTCAGAATGTGTGGCATCAGTGTGGCGTTACAGCAACTCTGGTGGTACCACAAGCATATGCAAGCTCGCTCACTTGATCATATGGAATAACCAAATGTAGGTTATTGTAAACTATAATTCCATTACTGAAGTAAATACAGACCAGATTTGAAGTCATTAATCTGTCATCCAACTACAATAAATCATGTAGGTACAAACACAGTGGATTGAGTGGTGTCCTCCTGTGTTGTAAATCTCTATGGTTCTGCTGTAATGCACAGTTCTTGCACACACTACCTCCCCATAGACTGGAATGTCATGAGCCCTTACTTCAGTCTGCATAGATGAACAAATCGGAAATTTTAAAAGCATACCACAGATTCTGTTTGTTGCCTTTAATACTACTCTGACATTCTGTGGGGAGACTATCGCTTCTCTTGTAATAACCTCTGCTTCCATTTCAGTTGGCTGCTGATTCCTCTAAATTAGTGGTCACTAAATTAGCTACAATGAACATTGTAGTTGCTTTCTTTCTCTTAGCTATATGCCTAAAGTCTAATTAATCATCTCCTAGTTATTGCTGTGCCTATTTAGAATCTCTAGTCTGTAGAAATTTCGAATTCCCTGATACCACTTCTGGCAGCACAATGTTCTGTGAAATAAATAATGGTCAATTGCTTTCTGGAGTAATTGATATTGACTAGACTGTTACAATGCACTTCCTCATGGAAATTAAACAGGCTTATTTATTAGGTTTATTTACCTAACAGGTTTATTTGCCTGAATTTGCAAGGACTGTTTTTGGATAAGCAGTTTGAACCACTCCTTAGAAACGCTATAAATTCAAAGTGGTAAATTTTACTACTACTCTATTAATGTGAACAACTGCAATGACACATTTAATGTTCCTTTAAATTTCAGATATTGTCTTTGTTTAGCCTTTTTCAGCATTTCACTGAATCAAACATTCTACAATAGAAGTAAATTTATAAACAGTTGTCACCAAAATTTTTGTTAACATTTTTAAAATTATACCATGACACACATTTTGCTGCAACATCATTTAACCTTATTAGATGCACAATTTAAACTGTAATTGCTTTATAAAATGAGAAAATAGTTGTAAATGGGATGAACCCACAAAACAATTCACTGCAATGTAATTAGTTTGACACGAATGCCTCAATAGAAAGGGAGAGAGAACAGTCAGTGAACCATGCAGTACTCTCCGTACCTTCCAATTACATCACAAAAACTTTAATTGTAAAAGTTTCAATTTTCTATCAACTTTGGACTCATTTACTTTTTGATTCATGATAGCCTTAAGAAAAAGCATAGAATTGTAATAATAATCAGAAAGTTTGCAAATGGCTGCAAAGAGTTTTAGTGCACTTTTACTGTGAACGCCTGTTTTGCAAAAATGACTAAAACTATTATTTACTTCAATCAGTAAGATGGATGCAATTGATGGAATATTTATCTATAAATACCTTTTGGTATTACAGAACTGAGATTTGCTGTAAAAAGGCATGCAGTTGAAGCTTTTTGCCTTGTGTTATTCAGGACAGAATTGCAGGAACGCCAAATCTCTAAGGAAACACATATTTATGCCAGATAAGAAGAGGTTGTGGATTGGTTGGTCAGTGGACTTTGGCTGAGGCATTGCCATTTGGAATGTATCAAACAATTAACAGCCAAGCTTTTGTTCAACTTAAATCCAGTAAATTGACTTTGATTGGTCAAGGCAGTCCCCAGGTCTTAATGGACTTCATCGTAAGGTCTTAAAAACAGTGTCTAGTGAGATAGTTGATCTGTTGGTTTTAATTTTCCAAAATCCTCTGGATATAAGTTTTCAAGTTGTTGGAGAATAATAAATGTATGCAACTATTGTATTTGAAAAGGAAAGGAAACAATGGAGGAAACTACAGACTAGTTGTCTTAACATCTGTAAATGGAAAAATATTAGAAACTATTACTAATGATATAGTAGCATGATTAGAGAAATTCAAGACAATCAGTTAGAGTCAACATGGTTTTGTGAAACTGAAAATCATATTTGAAGCTCTTTGAAGAAGTAACATACTATGAATAAAGGGAATTGAGAGGATGTACTGTACTGACTTCTGGAACTAAGGTACCACAACAAAGGTTATTCAGGAAAATAAAAGCTTTTTGTAACATTAGCATGGATAAATGATTGGCTGGCTAACTGGAAACTTTGGTCTAGACAAAGACAAAATGGATCATTTTCTGGTTGGCACGATGTAATGAGTGATATGCCACAAGGATCAGTGTTGGGGACTCAACTTTTTACAGTCTATATAAATGACTTGGATGGGGGACTGAAGGTATGGTTGACACAAAGCTGTAAGAAAATTGATTTATAAGGAGGATGTATGGATATCGAGAGGTTAATGAGTGGCAAAATGGAGTAATGCGAAGTTGCCTATTTTTGACAGGAAGATTTAAAAATGCACATTATCTAAATGGTGAGAGATTGCAGAGCTCTGAGGTGTGGAGGATCTGAGTTCCTCGTGCATGAACGGTAAAAGGTTAGTGTGCAGCTGCAGCAAGTAATTAGGAACCTTAATAGAATGTTATGTTTTATTGAGAAGGGAATGGAGTACAAAGTAGGGAGATTATGCTTCAGTTATACAGGGAACTGGTGAGACTGCATCTGCATTACTGTACTGTATTGGTCTCCTTGGGGAAGGATGCAGTTGAGTTGAGTATTGATTGGAGAAGGTTTACTGGACTAATAACCTGGAATGGGTGGATTGTCTTATGAGGAAAGGCTGGACAGGCTATGCTGATGTCCAT